TATATATATATATATATATATATATATATATATATATATATATATATATATATATATATATATATATATAATTATGGGGTATGGAGTGTAGAAAATATAGCATCTTGCTAGAAACACAAATGTGAAAAATTAAAGAGAATATGAGAATAAGAGTCCTATGAGGAGTGCGTAAGATGGGCACGTGGTATAATGGCAAGAACCACTTTCAGCCGATGAAGACCATCTCTCTACTTCTTGTGTGTGTGCAGGTACAGGATATTGTCTTGAACCTCTTTGTACAGAGGACTCTTCCTGCTGAAATCCGCATGCTGGCCTGCATGGTGCTTCTAGAGACCAAGCCATCCATAGCTCTGATCTCAGTAATAAGTGAGGTCCTGTTGGAGGAAACTGACCTTCAGGTTGCCAGCTTCTCCTACTCTCTACTCAAAGGAATTGCCAAGTCCTGCACCCCTGATAATCAACATCTGTAAGTATGCTTTCTTGTATTCTGTGTTCTCCTCCTCTCCTTTCAGAACATCTGAATTGTCCTTAGTCCTCTTTTTTTTCTTCTAAAAAATAAGATCCACTGCCTGTAATATTGCCATGAAGATTCTTACCCCCAAACTTGGCCACCTGAGTTATCGCTACAGCAAGAATATGCACTTTGACTGGTTCCATGGTGGGTTTACATTAGAAAGAATGTTTCAGAGAACATAGAGCTTTTCATTGATCTTTATTAAGTGCATCCTCATTTTAATTGCTAGCTTTGTTGTGCAATCTTTTAGTGATGCTGGGAATGGTATGATGCTGTATCTTGTCTCATCAGATGACTTTTTATTTGGGACATCTGCTGACATTTATATGCTGAAAAATGAAAGTCTCATACCCACAAAAGTTATGCTTAAGGGAAAAATTCATTTCATTGGGAGAATATTGCAATTTCTTGAGGTAATCAAATCAAAGCTATAATATACATTATCATTTAATTTTATGTACGTACAGTATACCATGTTTTATATGTAATATTTCATATGTTTCCAGCTTGGTGTCCATGCAGATGGAATCAAAGAGCTGTTTGCAGGAAAAATCCCTCAACTCAAGAAAGATTTAGGAATCACAGATTTTGCCACTATAATGAAAATTGTGAGCATTTCAGTCTCAGAATCTATGAAATCAATTCATTGACGTATATCAGTCATTAGATTAATGGTTATGCTCTGATCTTTTAAAGCTCTCTGACTGGCAGAACCTACCAAAAGACAGACCTCTGTTGACAGCATATGCACGCATTTTTGGACAGGAAGCCTTTTTAATGGATGTAAGCGGAGACTCCATTCAGAGCATCATAAAGGTATTCCACTATCTGAATTTTTTAACAGGTTTTTTTCATATTATTGATCCTTTATTTGTGTAGATTCAGCTGAAACATGATTGATTGATTGATTGATTGATTGACTTTTTCCTCAGTCATTTAGTGCTTCTGCAGGGAAGGAGAGTATGGTTTGGCAAAAGATTCAGGATGTTCAAAAAGGGACTTCCTGGCACTGGACCAAGCCCCATCTTGTGTATGAAGCTCGATTTATACAGCCAACTTGTCTTGGTCTCCCAGTTGAAATCAGCAAATATTATTCCATAGTAAATGCTGTTACAATGAAAGGTGATACGTTTTCCTATTAGATGTCTGTTAATAGTGGAGGGAAAAATGGGCCTATACAAAAATGATGAATATATTCTATGTCTACAGCTAAAGCTGAAATCAATCCTCCCCCCAAGGAACATCTGGGAGAGCTACTAAGCTCAGACATTTCCCTACACACAGATGGCTTCGCTGGGTAATAATAAAAAATTATCAGTTATGCTTCATCAATTAGACACTGACTCACCTTGTGGTTTGGATGTAGCAACATGCAAAATCAATAGTATCCATGCCACTGAATAATTTTGTTATTTGCAGTCAGCCATGATTTTGTGCTGAAGTTTGACTTTCCTCCTGCTTACAGGGTGACGAAGGATCATTTTGTTTTTCATGGAATCAACACAGATCTTTTCCAGTGTGGTGTTGAGCTGAAGAGTAAGATAATAAGTGCCCTGCCATGGGCATTTGACTTAAAAATAAACATTAAGGAGCATAAGTATGAAATGAACTTGACTCCAAGCAAAACGGTCACTGAATTATTTTCAGTCAAGTATGTTTTTCAATTATTTCTACAGCACCACTGTGATACACAATAAAGTGCCAGCAAATATCCTTATGATTTCTCACTCTTCATCAAACAGTTCTGATGTGTTCGCTGTTTTGAGAAACATTGAGGATCCATCCTTATTCAAAATAACCCCCATGATGCCTGAGACAGCGGACTCCCAACAGGGTCTGCCACTGGCGAGGATTTTACCTACTTCAAGGAATGATCAGGTACAACAGCCTTCACAATGACTTCCTTATTGTGCAGCCTTCACTGCAAACTAAACAGCTGTGTTTTCTGTGGCAGACCGAGGACTCTGAGGTGAAATTCAGGCAATGTGCTGATGCCAAGATTTATGGAACTGCGGTCTGCATTGAGGCAGAAGCCAAACGAGCACACTACCTTCATGAATATCCTCTGTATTACTTCCTGGGACGTACCCGCTTTTCATATCAACTCGAACCAGGTACCTGAACCTTGACTAATTGATATAATCCAAAAATATATTTCAATATTCCTGTCAGTAACATGTTGCTTGTTCCAAAGCTAAGGGTGCCAAACCCATTGAAAAAATTCAGATTCAGGTCACTGCTGGCAGAAAACACTCTCCAGGAGTCAGTGAAATGATGAATCTCACCCACAGAGTATTCAAGGTACCATGACTCAGCCATAGCTCTTTTTTCATTTATAGTGGCTGAATGATTTCCAGTGGTGAGCTCAGAATTAATGTGAGGGAATTTTGTTATATATGCTTCCTCTGTGTAGGACACAAGAGACGAGATCACCTCTTGTGAGGAAAACAATTTATCCAACTCATTCCCTGCATCTCAGGTGCAATACAAACATCTGAAGTCATTATTTCAAATGTAAAGTGATTTAAAAAGGAGGGTTTAATCTAACAAATTTCCAATTATATATTGTATATTGTATAGTGAAGTGTATATTTGGACAAACAGACTGTAGCTTGATTACGACACCACACATATCCTAATGTACTGCAAATTTCTTATTCAGTCCACCCTGAGATTTATACTTTGAAACTGCTTTTTTAAAGTAACTTAACATGATCTACAGAGTAACTAGGAATTGCTAGAGTAGTAGAGTAATCTAGCAATTATTCAGTCATCTTATCAATTTCTCCATGGTGTAGAATTTAGATGCCACTCCAGAACCTGTAGTCACAGTAAAAGCACTTGGTCTAAGTCCGCCAGCAAAACTTCTGGGCTATGAAGGTGTAGCCTTTAATCTGCCAACAGCCCAAAGAGACAACATTGAAATTATAGTCTCTGAAGTTGGTGAAGAAGCAAACTGGAAAATCTGTGCCAATGTTAACGTAGATAAGAGTCATTCATCAGCAAAGGTAAAGGTCTTTTGAGATTTTTGGTACAACTTATTCTCATCGGTTTCCTTATTCCCTCATTGATTCTCTTCTTATGTTTTTAGGCCCATCTCAGATGGGGTGCGGAGTGTCAGACATATGATGTGTCTATGAGGGTGTCCACAGCATGCCAGCCGGAATCTAAACCTTCCATACACACCAAGATCAACTGGGGAGCTCTGCCCTCAGTGTTCATAATGATTGGTCAAAAGTGAATTCATTTTGCTCTTGATTTTCCTGAAATACTAATGTACAGCATGAGATTACTACTTATATGACTTATATGATATGATTTAAAATTTTCTCTCAGAATTCAAGAGTACGTGCCTGGCATTTCTTATATAATGGGTTTCTACCAGAAATATGAGAAAAACCAAGAACGCCAAGCAGCTGTCACTGTTGTGGCATCCTCACCAGAGACCTTTGACATGAGAGTGAAAATTCCAGAGGTTGTTGTCTTATGAACATATTTCATGTCTTATTGCCTTCCTGCTTCTTTAGGCTGATACATTATTATTTTGTCCTCTCTAGCGAACAATCTACAAAAAGGCAATTCCCTCACCAATCGATCTTGTGGGGTTTGAAGCTGTGAACTTCACCATGTCGATCTAAAAGGTTAATTTATGAACTATGGATCATAAAACTGTTCTTGTGTATTTGCATAAATTCTGCAAATCTGTTTTTGTCTTAACAGGCTGGTGTTATAGAGCACTTCTGGAAAGACCAAACCGACAAAGAAAAATGGATCATCAAATATTCTGAATTGTTTGTATTCCTGACATTTGATTAATGACTGATTTGGATATTCAAATATATATACTAAAATCAGTACTTTTGAATTATACTCCAATGAATAAAGTGTGCATTAAGAATTCATTGTGATTCATTAAGTTTATATTTACATTTAGTCATTTAGCAGACACTTTTATCCAAAGCGACTTACAAATGAGGACAATAAAAGCAGTCAAAACTAACAAAAGAGCAACAATATATAAGTGCAAATGACAAGTCTTGGTTAGCCTAACGCAGTACACGTAGCTATACACACACACACAAAGAAGAACAAGTAGATAGAATAGGATAAATAGAAATCTAGTGTTTTTTTTTTTTAATAAAAAACTAAAAAAGAAGATAAATATAGATAAAGTAGAATTAAAATAGAATAGAAAGTGTTAGAGTTAGAGGGTCAAATAAAGGTGGAACAGATGTGTTTTTAGTCGTTTCTTGAAGATGGTTAAGGTCTCAGCTGCTCGGATTGATTTGGGCAGGTCATTCCACCAGGAGGGAATGAAAACCTTTGTGAAAGTGATTTTGTGCCTCTTTGAGACAATAATACGCCGTTAACTTGCAGAATGCAAGGTTCTAGAGGGCACATAACTCTGAAGTAATGAATTTAGGTAAATGGGTGCAGAGCCAGTGGTGGTTTTGTAGGCAAACATTAATGCCTTGAATTTAATGCGAGCAGCTGCTGGTAGCCAGTGCAAATTGATGAACAGAGGTGTGACATGCGTTCTTTTCGGCTCATTAAAGATTAGAGGCATTTTGGATTAATTGTAGAGGTTTAATAGAAGTGGCTGGAAGACCTGCCAAGAGAGCATTGCAATAGTCCAGCCTGGATAGAACAAGAGCTTGAACAAGGAGTTGTGTTGCATGTTCTGAAAGAAAGGGCCGGATCTTCCTAATGCTGTATAAAGCAAATCTGCAGGACCAGGCAGTTTTAGCAATGTGTTTAGAATGATATTCATATTCCAGCCTAGAGTAGGTTAGATTTACCTGTAGAGCATCTGCAACACCTCCTTCATATTTAGAATGTCAAAAGATTGGCACATCAGTTCTAAATAAATGTATTTGATAAAAATTTTGAACCCCTCTCTGATAAAGACCACAATAACAGACATCCCACCTCTCCAGGAAGGTCCAGGAGTATCTCACATATTAGCAGCTCCCTGAAATTCCCATAAATTATATACAATATCCTGGAAATTGAGCAGGCAAGAGAAAAGCCCAGATTCAGGGTATTAAAATGCATTTTTAGTGGTTCAATCACAAGTTGTCAGCCAAGATGCGTCTACCTATTATACATGCATTTTGAATGTGTCTCCTTGGACCACTTCTGATCGGATTTCTTCACACTCTACATCACTTTCGCAAGACTGTTGAGTGCGATGCATGAATGAACTGACTCGGTTAACACGGCTTGGGTGTTATGGCTTTTAGTGATGCACTAAAAAACACGGTTTTTAGTGATGCAACCACCTTGAAATTAGTTTTTGCAGAGTGGAATCTCTAGAATAAAATATAGTATAGCATAGATAAATTTTACTGTGTCTCTAGTTTAGTCATATCATATTGAAATGTAAAAATTCCTATTTAAGGGAATAGTTAATTTTGACAATTTACTGACTCTCAAATTGTTCCAACTTCTACAAACATTCCGACTCCAGTCAGTGTGGTGGTGTAGTGAATTAATGGCTGTTGGCTTAGAGGCAGCATAAACGCCTAATGATCATCAAAAATAGATATAAATTTGGTGATAACAAAGCAATTAAATTACCACAATTCTTATTTTTCACTAGAAATTATGTCAAAAGATGGAAAAAATGGGCAAAACCTATACTGACTGCCAGCTGCAACTCTCATCTCATCAGAATCGCACTCACAGGATAGTGTCATTCATAGTTAGTGAAAGATGCATGCTGATGGATGCATGACAAAAATCGTTGGGCTGAAGTATCCCAGTAGAAAGGATGTGACACAATCATTGAATTTGTACGTGCTTTGTTGTCTTCCTAATCTAGATTTTGGGTGCTGCTGTATTTCTAAAGAAACAGAAAAATGAATGAGAAAAAAAAGTAGGATGGGACTTAATTAACCAATCAGGAAAAGTCAGCATTTCACCAAAGTCAACGTCTTCAGTCTAAAAACTTACCCTGCGTTCCATTCAGAAGGGCTCATCCCTATGCCCTATTCCCTTCAAAGGGTTTGCCCTTCGGAGTGAGAGCTTCAAAGGGTTGAAGGGTGTAGGGGACCAAACAACTGTTTCTTGAAGTGCCCTTCTGTATCGTCATCACATGCCCAGACGGAGGCAGCGTCATCATGCAAAGATTCTGCGCAAAGGATCATGGGAGCCCGAAGTGTCCATCAGTTGCACCATTTGAAATCCTTCATTCCGAAGGGCCCTTTGAAGTGGCCAGATTTGAGCACTTCGGTTTGGAATGACCCTTCAATATGTCGGCCATGATTGTTTTCACTCAGAAGTGCCCTTCGGAAGGCGATATATCCCGTTTGGAATGCACTGTTATGTAACATACATCGTTCTGTTGTACTGGGATGCATCATCAATGATGTTCCCTGGAGTCCTCGGGTTTGTCTGGTCTTTCAACATCAAACACCCTCTCCCAGGTGACCCGGCCCCTGTGATCCCCAGCCAATTTAAAACTTTACTAAGTGACCATCCTATGAAGCCCCTACAGCCAACCACTATGGGCTCCCAAAGCAATGATCATGTCTGGCTGGAGTAGTGTTCGTCACCACCACATGGACTTTTGTTTGTTTTTCATTCCTCGTGTGTTCCTTGACCTAGTTTTCCCTCAAGTCTGATTATGTCATTTGGTTCAGCTGTGTCTTGTTAGTTATCCTAGTTTGCTGGTGTACTTAAGTTCATGTTCGTTCAGTTTAGTTTTGTCAGGTATTGTGAATGTGAACGTCAATGTGTGTAACTACTTTCCTCTATGTGGATTTATTTTTATTGTGTGGATTAATTAATTTTTTTACATCTTCATTGTCGTGAGTGCTCATCTACACTGATACGTGACAGTGTTGTTGCAATATGCGGCAGGAACTGTTTGCCCTGGTTAACTCTCAACAGTCAGAGGTTGTGTGGAGGAGGCCCAACCTTGTTTTAGCGTGTACCTGGTGTTTCTCTCCAGCTTTCACAAAATGGTTCTTTAGTAAAACATGCTTACACTTAAAAAATAGTGAGTACATTTTAAAGCTATACAATCAATTAAATATACCTTATGAAATCAATAAATGTGAATAAAAAAGAAAAATAACAGAGTAACTACATTTTGTACCACATATAAAATGGTCAAATACTTAACTCAAATAGTTTATTGGACGCAATTAAAATTAAAATATTAAATTAAATATTAAATATTTTAAATTAAATAAAAAAATTAAAATAGCTGCTATCTATTAGCTGGCAGTGGCACAAATACATGTGCTAACATAACTAGCAAACGAACTTTCGCTACAATAGCAAATACCCAGTTATTGTTGTTAATGCATTTCTCAAATGCAACATGCAATTTATATAGTCTCAATGGGCCTCATTCATGAAACTTGCATAAATATATGAGTAAATTCTGAGTAATTTGCGAGTAAAACAGATCTTCCCGAAAACTCTCCTCCGGATTCACAAACGCTTCATAAACGTCTGAATTGATAGTTAAACATGTGCATGTTAATGAAATCCAATCATTCGTAAATAGGGCGCTCGTTCACAATTAGCATAATTGTGACTAATGAATTACATAATGAATTAGTGAATAATGAATTAATAAATAATGAACTACAGCTACGCAAATTGCGTGTCCAGGAACACAGTGGAATATTCTGGTATACTGTCTCAGGTTTGGCTCCAGTATATTGCATAAATGCAAAAAAAGACTAATAGGCCATATGCCTAACAATAAATATTCAATAACGTGTGTCCACAAAAGAGTTTTTAGCGAGCTGAAAAAATGTCAGGGGCTCTTCTTAAAACGACAAGCTGGTGGCGCTTGAAAACATTTTGGTGGCACAGTGTTTTTCCAGCTTAGACGCTTTAGTTGCTATGATTTGGAATATCCACGGCGGCAACATATTACTAGTATCTCATTTTTAAGAAGATTGTTTTTTTTCAACAGGGCTAGGCTATACTCTTCAAAACAATTAAACAGAACATTAAACACATACAGATCTTCTCCTATCATCGTGAGCAAAAATAAACAAAATAACATTTAATTTTAACATGTACTCATCCATCTGTATCAAAAAACAATGGGTAAAGCAGATTTCCCTCTTTTTACATGATTGTTAATTGAACTTAGTTTCTTAGTTGTAGTTAAAGACGGAAACTATAGATATGGAATGAGTAATAACTGTAGAGTTTTAGGCATTTATTTTGGTATTACCAACTCAAACAATTAAAAATATATATTTTACATTTTATTAAGGTATGTATTGTTGTGATATTGATAAAGCCACAACACTAATTTCAGTTGTGAACTCTTTTTGCTCATGAACATCCTCTCTCTTCTGATCTGAGGTCAGTGAGTGTCTGTTCAGCTGCAGCTGCTCACAGTTGATTGGAGCTCTGAGGTTATTTTGATAGGAGGAGAATGTACACAAGCTCTCATTCTGCTCGCAGAAAGCTCAGAGACTAAATACTAACAGCATGAAAACTCTAGTGCTCTGTGTGTTTCATGTCATATTCCTCAGAGTTTATGAAATCCAGTGTAAATCTCACCCAAAACCTTCATGTGGATACCCTCCTTCTCAATGGTGCAGGTCTCTGGAGATTGCCATAGAATGTGGGGTAAGTCTGTTTAAGAGGTTTATTTAAATCTTGAAACAATTAAGTTATCTTTTTTGCCAACTTTAAAGAGGCATTAACTGGCAGCTCAGTATCATGATTGTAATATTGGTGGCCTTTTAATAGCTAAAATTTTACAGGACATAATGTTACTGCATCTCGAGATATGGCAATCTTTTTTATCTAAAATCGGTTAAGTCGACCTACAATACAGAATTCACACTTCATCTGTTTTCACTTGCATTATGTGATATAATAGCTTGTGTTAATTTGCAGAGTGTTACTGACTGTATAGAATATTGACTTTCATGGAATATTGCACTGATGGTCTTGTAAAAAAGCTGTGTTCACCATCACTTTCAAAGACTACTTTGTGCTTGTAAATTGTTGTCATGCTTTTGAACACAAACAGCTTCCAATTAAGCAGGCCACGAGATTTCCTGGTTCACATTGTGAGTTGGATGAGCCTCCTCATGTCTACAACTGTATGCTCTTATACTCCGAATTCTTATACTCCGTTAATTCAGGGTCAGAAGTTCATCCTGTAAATAGTTGGTTTAAAGATGTGCATTAGAGAATTTGTTTAGATTTAAATCTGATTATGCCATGAGCATAACTGGGTACTTCAAGCCGTGAGTCAGTCTTCTTGTTCACGTGACATTTTAAATGTGGCATGTATCCTTAAAACTTCCTACTCTTTTCATCACAACATAAGCAAAAATGTAATTCTAAAATCTATGCATTAGAATTAACTTTTCAACTTCTATTGTCACTTTTTGTTTTTGTCACTGTTCAAATCGAGTTTTGCACAAAGACCTAATTAGCATCAATTTAGTTCTGTACTTTTCAACCAGTGTGCCGGGGTCTTGGCAAACTCTTAAGGGGGCCTCAAGATGACACAAATTCAATTTCAATTAATAAATTGTTATTAATATATTTCAATAATCTATTATTAATCTTATTAATCTATGATTAATTTATTGTGAAATAATAATACAAAATATTTAAAGTGCTAAAAAACTTGGAAAATATGGTAATGTTATGTAAGGAAAATAAATAAAAGTATTGATTTTCCCCCCTCCTTAAATATTTTTTAAAGTCCCAAAATAAATATTATAATAGTAATAAAAAAAGTTTAAAAACAAGCATAATCATAGCATAAATGCATAAATAGCTTGTATCAGGAAGCCTTTGAATATTCTGGACAACAGGGTTCCTTTGGGTCAAGAAGGCTGAGAGCACACTGATATAGTTTAAATACATTTACCACCTATCCAGATTCACTACGTTTCAATTTATGATTCTCGCTAAGAGTAAATCAAGCATGCAATTGCAACAAGTGTGTTTATCTGACAGCACCATTTTTTGAAAACATATTCTAAATGTTGTCTGACAGGGAACATTTTAGTGACATATTCCAGATGAAACTACACGCATCAAATGCCCCTGTTGAAAAAAACAGCATATGCTGGTTAGGTATGTTTTTAAGCATGGCTGCTGGTTTGAGCTCGTTTAAGCTGGTCATGTACTGGTCTAAGCTTAAAGTTTTAAGATGGCGCCACGTATGGCCATGGTGTGGAACGCTCCCATTCTTTTACTGTTTTTATTTGTTTGTTCTGTGTTTAGTCATTCCCTTACTATCAGTTTTACCAGAGACTAACTACTGGACATAAGGCAGCACACACCAGACACATTTTTTTCCGGTTTTTGATTATTCAGACGCTTTGTTGGATGTTTTGGTCAGAGGGGCAGCAGTCCCAGTCAAACGCGCGCTCAGACGGAAAAGAGGGAAACGCGCTGGTTAAGCTCAGTGAACGCGGCTTCCAAACTGTGCTCCCTAGTATCCATCTAGCGAATCTCTGTTCCCTTCCTAACAAAACGGATTAACTTCTCCTCACCCGCACAAACAAGGACTTTTCCAATTCTGCTACATTGTGCTTCACTGAAACCTGGCTGAGTGAAGCCATTCCGGACAACAGCACGTTACATGTCCCACCAGAGACAGTAATATATTGGATCACTGCTACACCACAATAAAGGATGCATATCACTCTGTCCCACGGGCAGCTTTGGGGCTTTCTGATCACTGTTTGGTTCATCTCACCTACAGGCAGAAACTGAAATCAGCTAAACCTGTATTAAGGACTGTTAAAAGATGGACTAGTGAAGCAGAGCGGGATTTAAAAGCCTGTTTCGACCTCACTGATTGGAGTGTTTTTGAATCCGCTGCCATCGATCTGAATGAGCTCACGGAGACTGTAACTTCATATATCAGTTTATGTGAGGATATGTACATCCCCACCAGGACATTCTTATCTTTCAATAATGATAAACTGTGGTTTACAGGGAAACTCAAACAGCTTAATCACGCCAAAGAGAATGCTTATAGAAGTGGGGATAAAATCTTGTATAACCAGGCCAGGAACAGACTAACAAAGGAGATCAGAGTGGCTAAAAAAACTCTGAAAAGCTGAGAAAACAGTTTTCAGCCAACGATCCAGCGTCAGTATGGACTGGCCTGAAGAACATCACCTTGTATAAGACACCACCCCCACAGTCTGTGGAGAATCAACAACTGGCTGACGATCTGAATGTGTTTTACTGTCGATTTGAAAAGGCCAGACTAACACCCAGCACCCGCTCTGATCTGCACTTCTCACATTCACCTATGCCCCTGCATCTGCTGTGTGGCTCGGAGGTTATGCGTACATATGAACCTGCGGGACATAAGCTAAATTACACTTGCTGCATGTTGCATAAAACGTAAAAAAAAAATGTCAATATGTGAGAGTAAGAGAAGAGCAGACATATAGATAAATCTGAAGACGCAAGAGAGAACTCAATTCGGTCCGGTCTTCTGAGAGCAGACACTATACACACAAAGTGCGTCTCACAGCGCGCGAGTACTCTTTCGCATCGCATGAACGGAGAATTACACACAAAATTATGATGAATTGTCCGTTTTGATGAGTATTTACGTAAACACGGTTGATTACGTCTTAAGTGAACATAAACCGTAGGAAGAACGTGTATCAGTACATTGCATCCACTGCAGCCGTGCATTCGGTTTTAAAGGGACAGCAGCCTAATTTAGTTGCTATTGTTCGAGTCATTGATGTTAATCAAGCAACAAAAGAAAGACAGGAACGGAACATAAGCTAAATTACACTTGCTGCATGTTGCATAAAACGTAAAAAAAAAATGTCAATATGTGGGAGTAAGAGAAGAGCAGACATATAGATAAATCTGAAGACGCAAGAGAGAACTCAATTCGGTCCGGTCTTCTGAGAGCAGACACTATACACACAAAGTGCGTCTCACAGCGCGCGAGTACTCTTTCGCATCGCATGAACGGAGAATTACACACAAAATTATGATGAATTGTCCGTTTTGATGAGTATTTACGTAAACACGGTTGATTACGTCTTAAGTGAACATAAACCGTAGGAAGAACGTGTATCAGTACATTGCATCCACTGCAGCCGTGCATTCGGTTTTAAAGGGACAGCAGCCTAATTTAGTTGCTATTGTTCGAGTCATTGATGTTAATCAAGCAACAAAAGAAAGACAGGAAATCATGCACTGCTCTTGACTGAAAAACTTTAGTAGCCTTAAAGATTAATCTAAATGTATTTATAGAAATAAATATGTCTGCTTGAAAGAATGAAGAATATGGTAAACAAGTTGCTATAAAGAATGCGTAATTAGCCTATATAACCATTGGTATTTCATTAAAAAGTAGACCATGTTCTTGTTCCTTGTGAGAAGTGGTTTTATTTAATTTTAACATAAAGGCGTGTTGTGTGTTACAACAGTTAAATCGGTGTCTATCATAATAAAACCTTAATATCAAACCTATATAATGAGTTTGGAAATTTTAGAGAAATGCTTAATAAATGCACTACAATGTAACTAAACCCATTAGATTTTAGCAGACTAA